GTATCCCTAAGTCCTCAGAAGAAGCCACCCATCCCAATCTGGGTAGCATCCCCAAGTACTCCAAAGAAACCACCCATCTCAAGCTGGGCAGTATCCCCAAGTCCCTAGCAAACACCATCCAGCCCAAGCTGGGCAGTATCCCCCAGTCTCCAGAAGACACCACCCATCCCAAGCTAAGCAGTATCTCGAAGTACCCAAAAGAAATCACCCATCCCAAGCTGAGCAGTATCCCCAAGTCTCTAGCAAATACCATCCAGCCTAAACAGGGCGACATCCTGAAATCCTCAATGAAAACAATCCAGCCCAAGGAGGGTGACCTCCCCAAGTCCCCAGAAGAAATGATCCAGGAAGGCAATATCCCCAAGGCTTCAGAAAAAATGATCCAGTCCACGGAAGGTGATCTCCCCAAGGATTCAGAAGAAGCCCTCCAGCTTGAGGAAGGCAACTTCCAGAAACCCGAAGAAGAAACAGTGGAGTTCCTGGAGGTGGACATGGTGAGAATGATCCTGAGCAAGGAGGACTTTGAGGCAGCACTCAAGGAGGCTGGAGAGAGGTTGGTGGCCGTGGACTTCTCGGCCACGTGGTGTGGGCCCTGCAGGACCATCCGGCCAGTCTTCCACGCCCTGTCCGTGAAGCACGAGGACGTGGTGTTCCTGGAAGTGAACGCTGACGACTGTGAGGAGGTGGTGAAAGACTGTGCAGTCATGTGCATCCCAACCTTTCAGTTTTATAAAAAAGAAGAAAAGGTGGGCGAGTTCTGTGGTGCCCTTCAGGAAAAACTTGAAGAAATCATTGCAGAATTAAAGTAATCATATATTCTGAAAACATTGTAAACAGTTAGCTGTTTACAGTTTGTGATTTGTTTATTATTTACAAAAAATTATCAGGTAGAACAAAGGTGTATGTCCAGATGGCCCTGCTTACACATTGTTAAATATTAACTCTGCCCTTTTAAAAAAAATAGCCCATGCGTTAACGCATATCGTGACTATGTTTTTGTTGCAGGGAGAGTGTGAAATCAGAAACTCCTTTAGTGGAGAGTGGTAGTCCCCCTGTCCCCTAATTTTTAATCTTATTTAAACTTGCCCTTGAAAATTCCATTTAGTGTTTGCAGGAATATTGGAAATTAAATAATTCTTCTGCAGAAGTAAATGATTGAAAGAGGAGTGAAAACTTTTTTTCTCATGCTCATGTTATCTTTGGGGATTCTGATAAGATACTTTTGGAAATAAAGAAGAGTTTCTGGAGAGGGGAGTAGAGACTGGATAAAGGCTATGCTGTCCCAGGACCAGTTGTCCTGAGAGCGGGAAGGTGGGTAGGACCTGGCCCGTGCACAGGAGGGCCTTGTGGAATTTGAGAGATTCCCATGCCTTAGCCAACCTCCTTTTTGTGCCCAGAGTGCTCTGGAGGCCTTGGGAAATTCACTGGGTTCTCCAAGATGTGATTTGTTGGAGGCAGAGCTGAGACCAAGTCCAAGTTTCCAGATTCCAAGTCCAGGGCTCTGCCTACTAATCCATGCTCACAAAATCTGAGACAGAGCTCAGAACTTCAGGTTTCTCCAGGGCTTACCTCCTTAGCACCCTTGCTGCCATTATGACATCAGCATCCCAGTGGTAAAGTTACCAGTTTGCCAAAGTTCCTGCTTTGTCTCCCTGGTAATTGGGTTCCTGATACCTGCTCCCAAATGTCCCTGAGTCCAAAGGCCCAGATCTGGACCTCTGGAGTATGAGGTGTGGGGTCCCTGGTACCTGGCTGTCAATGGGCTGCCCAGAGTTCTGAACTTCATTTGCTATGTGGAGATGCTTCCTCCTCCCATCACTGTTTAGAGGAGAGGTGGGAGCAGGGAGAGGAGTAGCTTGCTCCTCCAAATCCGCCGAGAAAAGAAAACAAGAAAATAAAAAACAGGTCAAGGCCGGGCGTGGTGGCTCACGCCTGTAATCCTAGCTCTCTGGGAGGCCGAGGCGGGCGGATTGTTTGAGCTCAGGAGTTCAAGACCAGCCTGAGCAAGA